CCAGCCGTCTGGTTAGCAGGCAAGTGTCTTAGCCACTATGCTACCAGAGCTCCCTCTCCCACCCCTGGCAACCAATAAAGAGAGTTTCCCTCCATATATAAACCTTTTCCTTGACCCTCCACAGCAATGAACTAATACTATATTTGTCCTTCTGTGATGGACTTATTTCACTCAGCATAATTTCCTCCAAGTTCATCCATATTATGTAGTGTTTTGCACCACATAATTATTCTTTAGTTCTTCATAGCATTCCATTGTGTGTATGTACCATAGTTTGGTCATCCACTCTTCTGCCAGTGGGCACATAGATTGTTTCCATCTTTTTGCTATTGCAAATAGTGCTGTGATGAACATGGGTGTGCATGTATCTGTTCCCATCCTGGCTCTTACCTCTCTAGGATATATACCTCATAAAGGGATTGCTGGGTCAAATATAATCTCCAATTCCAGCTTTCTAAGGAATCGCCATATTGCTTTCCACAGTGGTTTTATCCCTTCACTGTCCCACCAGCAGTGTCTGAGAGTCCCACTCTCTCCACATCCTTGCCAGCATTTGTTACTTTCTGTCTTGTTGAACCTTGCCATCAGTGCTGGGGTGAGATGGTATCTCATTGTTGTTTTGGTTTGCATCTCTCTGATGGGCAGTGATCATGCGCATCTCTTCATGTATTAGCTGGCTGCCTGAATATCCTCCTTGGTGAAGTGTCTATTCATGTCTTCTGCCCATTTTTCAATTGGATTATTAATTCCTTTGCTGTTGAGGTGTTGGAGTTTTCTACAGATCTTAGAGATAAGTCCCTCGCCAGGTATGTCATTATCGGCAAATATGACTTTGTTGCTGTCATTTTTGTTGCATGTTTTTTCATGGTGTCGATTTCTTTGTTCCATATAATTTTCCATGCTGAGCTTCTTCTGTTTATGAATCATGTTATCACTTACTTTGTTGCTATTGTTTTAGTATTTGCTGAATATTTGTGCTGGTCCTCTTTTTTATTTTGATGTGAAGGTTTACCATTTTTCTTTGAGGTTACCTGTGATTTATATATAGTTTTCTTCCCAAGCTTAGAATTGTCCATTCTATCTTGTAGTTGTCTGACTTCCCTACCATCTAGAAGTTCTGTAATGACAGTTTTTTCCCTCTTTTTGGTTTGTAGTTATCCTCATTTATCAACTGATGTCTCTGGTTCCCTGTTCACAATCTTGTAGGCTTATTTACTTTGGATATTTCCATAGCTGGGTTGGTTTCTGGGTTGGTCATCATGTGTGTTAATGGTCAGTTGTTGTTGGCTGTTGTTGCTTCTCTGTCCAAAGGGTTCCCTTAACATCTCTTGTAAGGTTGGTCTGGTTTTAACAAATTCCCTTAATTTCTGCTTATCTGGAAATGTCCTAATTTTCGCCATCATATTTGAGGGACAATTTTGCTGGGTACATAATTCTTGGTTGGACATTTTTCTCTTTCAAGGTTTTATATATACCATCCCATTGTCTTCTCACCTGCATGGTTTTTGCCAAGAAATCCAAGCTTAGTCTTATTGGTTGTTCCTTGTAGGTAACTTTTCATTTTTCCCGTGCTGCTTTCAGGATTCTTTGCTTGTCTTTGGTTTTCGTGAGTTTGATGATGATATGTCTTGGTGTTTTTCTTTTGGGGTCTATCCTGTTTGGGGTTCGTTGGACTTCCTGAATGGATATAGTCTCATCTTTCATCATACCGGGAAAATTCTCTTCCAATAAATCTTTGACAGTTTTCTCAGTGGTTTTATTTGTCTCTTCCTATTCTGGAATTCTGATTATATGTACATTATTCCTTTTGATGGTATGCCACATGAACCTTAGGCTTTTTTCATTTTGTTTTGATCTTTTTTCTGATTGATCCCTTTCCAAAAAGTATGCAGGTATTTGCCTTCAATCTCACTAATTCTGTCTTCCCTTGATTCAGTTCTGTTCCTTTGCCCGTTCAGTGTCTTATCTATTTCTGAAAATTTAGTATTAATCTTGTGGATTTCTGTGTGTAGATTTTGTATCATTTCTAATTTTTCTTTTATTTTGTCATTTTGTTCTTGTATTGTCTTTTGAAATTGTTCTGGGGTTTTCTCTGTGTTTTCCTCTATTTTGTCAGTGTTTTCCTTGATCTGCCTCTAAATTTGTTGAAGACACCTAAATATAATTCTTTTGAATTCCTTATCAGGGAGTTCAAATCTGTGTCTTCCTCAGGGATGTGTTTTGGGTCTGTATCCTGGTCCCTTGTTTCTCCTGCTTTATCTTGCTTCTTTGTGTGGACTGTTATGCTCTGTTGTCTCTAAGGCATTGTGACGTTTTTGTTTTTATATTTAACTGGTGATTGCATGTTGGAGTGACTTGATCATGATTTTTGTTTTCTTTGTATGTTATCTACATAAGCAGGGTACTGTGCTGCTCTCTTCACTAGTTGGCAGCACTTATACACTCACCACCTGTTTTCTTTCCTCTTGTCAGCCTCCCGTATGTCCCTGGCATCCTTGGCAAATAGAGTCTATTCTTAGGTCCCTGGAATCTGAATGAGAATGCTGTCACTTTAAAATCCAAAATGGCTGCCACTTGTAGAGATTCAAACTGGCTGCACCCTCGGTCACTTTAAATATCCAAAATGGCTGCCACTTGTAAACATTCAAAATAGCTGCACCCTTGGTCACTTTAAAAATCCAAAATGGCTCCACCCTCTGGACAGCGGAAAGTCCATAGCTCAGGTTGTCTCCCTCCTTGCTATTTCCCTTCCTAGTCATAGGCCACTAGCATAGTCATCCCTGCAGACCTTGGTGACCAGGGCTGATCTTTAGGTCAATTCTCAGGTCCCAACACCACTTGGAAATATTCAGGCTTTTGGTCCTGTCAGAGTAGCTGACAGTCCACAGCTCTGACCGTCTCCATACTCGCTGTTTTTGTTCAGGTTTTTCCACTATACAGATGTGCCTCATCCACATCTGTATAGTTCCTTTTGAAGCTCAGGGCTCCAGGATTATCTTCTGTATCTCTGTCAATTGGTTTCTCTTTTCTTTGTTGAGGAGGGTCTGTGTCGCTTGTTTGCCTATTACTCCATTTTACTGGAAGTCCAGTAGGTAGTTTTTTAAAATGTGCTTTTTGTGTGAAAATGATGAATGTACTCAGAGTTCTCCAGAAATGGTAAAAGTTTTCTTTTATCTCTATCCTTAGTCATTTGATCCCCCTTTAGTATTCTGTATTACCCAGTTTTGATAGTTAAGATTGTGTGTCAACTTGACCAGGCCATGATTCTAAGTGTTTTAGCAGTTCTGTGTTAGCCATTTCCTTGAGATAAATTTCTCTCTCTCTCCCTCTCTCTCTCTGTATCACTTCAATGATTCTGCTTCTCAAAGAACCCAGCCTAAGATAACAATATTAGGGGTGTAGTTCATAAAACATTTAACATCATGGTTAACCTGCTAATAAATTGCTGACAAAATAAGTAGATCAATTACTCTGTCATTAAAGAACTTGTAAGCTTTTATACAGTTTGTGTCAGAAAAAAATTAGATTAAGTTTTATAAGCTTGCAGACAGCAGCTGTTGGAAACTTGTCAGTTCTGTGTCTTAAAGGATACAGCTGAACCTGATGCTAGCAGAAGCACATTTAGATAGATTTTATATATATTAAACTACATTACATTAGGGTCCATTAATAGAGAATTTAAGGAGCTCTGGTGGCATAGTGCCTAAGGCATTTGACTGCTAACCAGAAGGCTGGCGGTTCAAACCCACCAGCCACTCCTCGGAAGAAAGACTGGGCAATCTACTTCCATAGACATACCACCTTGGAAACCCAAAGGGGTTGCTATGAATCAGATTCGATTCAGTGACAGCGAGTTTGGTTTGGTTTTTTGAATAGAGAATTTGGTAATTTCTGTGTTTTTATGTTCTGTGGAAAAAAGGGACAGTACTTTTTTATCCATAGTAGTTTGTTAATATCTGATTATTTCTGAATTGTCTAAAATACAAAATTTTAAGTAATACTGATTGGCCTTGTCCATATTTAATTTGAGTAGGTATAAAATCTAGCAGCTCCATTATTTTACAGACTTGTCATTCATAATGTTAGCTGTTACATGGTTTTGTTTTTGTTTATTGCAGGATGAAGTACATGAAAGGGATCGATTCAGTGATTTTTTACTTACAAAGCTAAGAGATTTGTTACAAAAGCACCCAACTTTGAAACTAATTCTTTCCAGTGCTGCATTGGATGTAAATCTCTTTATAAGATATTTTGGAAGTTGTCCAGTGATATATAGTAAGTTACATGATCAGATTTCTTCTACAGTTTTTGTAAAAGAACAAAGTTTAGTATGATTATGTTTATTCTATCATAACTTGGCGAATATTTTTAAGTAGAGGGCATCATTTTTGTTCCCTCTGAGATACTTTAATTATGTTTTAATTTTTCTATCCTCTATTTTTCCACCTATAGCTCTCTAAAGTAAAGTGTAGTGAGGTCAACTCTCTAGTCTTAAAAAGAAATATGCTTTATTTGACCCTGTGTTCCCAGTTATATTCTTCTTTATGGCTTCTTGACTTTATTGCTAGATTCCTTGAAAGAGTAGTCTGTATTTCTGTGTTTACTTCGCATTCACATCTGAATATGCTACCACTAACTTTTTCCCTTGCCCTTTAACAAAAACTGCTCTTGCCACTAATCTTTAAAAAAATTGTTTTATTTTATTAAATTCCTCTTCCAAAAATTATAACCTTATATGTGTTCATCTCAATGAACTGATACAAAAGAGTACATAGAGTTAATAATCACTCTATCCTCTTTTTATTCCATCTTCTACTTTCCTAAGGTTACTGATGTTAAACGCTTGGTGCATATCTTTTCTTACTTTGTCCATGCTCATACAAACATATGAAAAAATATACACATATATAGGGTTTTAAAAAACTGGTTTTACCTTATGCGTTAGTTTCCAATTTGTTTTATTCATGTGACAATATACCATAGACATTCTCCAGTTCAGTAATTCTAGATCTAGTTCACTCTTTTAAGCAACTGTTTTAATATTTCATAATATGGATGTACCATGATTTATTTAATCATTCCTTTATTTTTGGATGTTTAGGTTGGTTGTAGATTCTCCATACCCTCAACACTTGTAATGAACACCCTTGTGTGTGTATGTATGTGTGTATGTGTGTGTGTGTATGTATGTATATATATATCCTTACATACTGGCACTCTTATTTCTAGGGGCAGATTCCTGAAAATTAAATTGCTGAGTAAAAGACTATATCTATTTTAAATTTTAATAGGTTTTGCCACGTAACTTTATCAAAAGGCTAAAATATAGGCATACCTCAGAGATAGTGTAGATTCAGGTCCAGACCACCACAATAAAGCAAGTCACGTTGAACTTTTTGGTTTCTCAGTGCATATAAAAGTTATGTTTATATGGCACTGGAGTCTAGTAAGTGTGCAATAGCATTATGAAAAAGTTTAAAATATCACAGGAACTACCAAAATGTAACACAGAAACACAAAGTGAGCACATGCTGTTGGACAAATGGGTCCAATAGATTTGCTCAATGCATGGTTACTACAAAGCTTCAATTTGTAAAAAATGCAGTATTTGCAAAGCACAATAAAGCAAAGTGCAATAAAATGAGGGATACCTGTAATTCACATTTCTGCAGTATATAGGAGTATTCATTTGTACATTTTTATTAGCATTGTTTTGACTCATAAAATTTCCAAGCCTAATATTGAAATTTCAGGTGAAATTCTTATTTAAATATTGTGGTAGTTCTCATTGTTGCCCCTCCCTCCTTTTTACAAATGCTTAGATCCTGTAATTTATTTGATACATGGTCTCTTGAGTCTCATTCTGCATTATAGCTAGCACTTTGTCAGTCTCCTTTGGGCTTCTCTTCTTCTGAGTGGTGCTTATACATTGGTATTTTCTAGGGGTTATTCCTTGATTCATTTTCTTTTCTCTTTCCCACTGACTTTCCCTCTCTCCCTCCCTGTCTTAGTTTTCTAGTGCTGCTGTAGCAGAAATACCACAGGTGGATGGCTTTAAAAGAAGTTTGTTCTGTTGCAGTTTAGGAGAGGCTAGAAGTCTGAATTCAGAGTCCTGTCTCTAGGAGAAGACTTTCTCTCTGTGGGTTCTGGGTGGAGGCCTCTTGACCCTAGGCTTTAGCTCTGCTGTCCAGGCATAGTGGATGAAACTGGAGGATTCTCCTGACTCATGTAGCTGACAAATTCAAGATTGGTAGGCAGTATATCAGGCTGTTGGCTGCTGAGGTTGACAAATCCAAGACTGGCAGATTATTGGCTCACAGGCTGCGAAGGCAGCAATCTCAAGATTGGCAGGCCACTGGTTGAAGTCCAGGAACTAGAGATGATGATTAGGCCAAATGCAGGATCCATTCCATATATACGGGAAGCAAGGCCACACCCCAAAGACACCTACCCTTCAACTGATTAACTGCTTACAGCAGATTCTACCATGAAAATTACACCATATCCAATCTCATCACAGGGAATAACTACATTCAGTTGCCAAGCCACTCAAAAACATGGCCCAGCTAAGTTGACTCACAACCTTAAGTACCACACTCTCTTTTCCTTTTTTCTTTTCTTTCATGTTCTGTGCTGCACTCTACTAGGCATGGGAGATGCACAGTTGATCTTCTTGGAAGCTCTCATTCATGCCTTTAGCATCTGTTTTCTCTTTTATACTGATGACTCTGAATCTTTATTTTCAATTCAGACTATACTCCAGAGCTTTGAACTTAGATGTCTTGCAAACAGCTTACTTCCAGTATTGAAAAGGTAATCTTTTGTAAAAAAATGTATTTCTCTTATGTTGCCTATCTTGGTTAATCATATCAACCTAGCCACTTGAATCACTATCTTCTAAGTCCTTCTTCTCATAACATTCTTGAGTGAGGGCACATAAAATGTATTCATCTACTGAATGGACAGCTCTTCTTGGCACTTCACATTTGATGACATATCTGTAATCAGCCAAGCTATTCCTTTTTTCAGTATTCCTTGTTATTTCCATGAATGATATCATCATCCATCCAGTTTTGCAAGCCAGGAATCCAGGAATAGTTGACATTTCCTTCTTCGTCAATCTTCCATACCTAATCCATTGCTGAGTTCTGTGGATTTTGCCTCTTGTCTGTCTCTGGAATCTGTATGCTGCTTTTCCATTTTTAATATAAGTATTCTCATTCATTGTCATCTTTTACCTAAACTATTATAGTAGCTCCTACCTAATCTATTCTTACTTTTAAATCCGTTCTCCACCATGCAGCCAGAGTTGTTTTTTCTGAAGTGTAATCTTGATGATGTTGAGCGCTCTCCTGAGTTTCATATTTTTGAGTGAGCTTTATTTCAGGAAAAAGATGTAAACTGTTAATAAAACTTAACTATCTCTTCTGCTCTTGAACTATAATCCCCTCCCCATCCCTCTCACCCCTATCTTCCACCTGTGTTGGCAATGTAGTTTCTTGAAAACATCATATTCCTTCCAATTATATGGACTTTGCCCATACTGTTTTTTTGTTCAGTTGCAAACTTTCCACATAACCTAGTTATTCTGATTACCCCCTTAATTCTCATTTGCTCAGTAAGCATGCTTTTCATGACTCAAGCAATCTCCTTTTTATATTTTATCATCGTATCTTGTACACTTTCTCTCATAGGACTTTTTACAACTCTCATTTTGTGGTTATACCCTGCATTACTGGATTAATGTGTATCTCCCCTGCTTGCTTGCAAGCTTCAGGAGGGCAGTTGGGGGTAACTCTGTTCCTGTTTACCATTTGTATTCCTAGTGTCTAGAGTTAACACCAAACATGATGTATAGTAGTAAACACAGGAAAAAAACAAGAGAATGAACAATTGCTTAAAATTAGTATCAAAATTATAGGACAATGTTATGAGGATCACTTGAACTATGGAATTACTTTTGGATTTTTTACTCAGGCTCTTTAATTTTGGAGTCTCATATTTTTATGTGAATTATCACTAAAATGCAAATTGACTATTTTTAAAAATTCTTTTATTTAGTACAAGGAAGACCATTTGAAGTAAAAGAAATGTTTTTGGAAGATATTTTAAAAACTACTGGTTATACAAATAAAGAAATGTTAAAGTACAAAAAGGAAAAACAGCGAGGTAAGCTTTGTATTAAAGAAACCAAAGAAATTAATGTTTCTTGTGTCACTTGATAATGACTTTTTTGAATAGTCTTACAGTGTGGTGGTAGAAGGACACTTGAAAGTGTTTTTCTTTTGTATATAATTGGTATATATTAGAATATTATGCCAAATAAATCTTTTAATGAGTTCTACTTTCTGGCCTATGGCAAGAAGTTAAAATCTATGGAGAGTAAAATGGATGTTATAATTGGGAGGCTAAGTGTGTGTGTATCCAAAGATTCAACCACTGTTTTAAGGGAGTAGAAGAGTATGTGAGTATTTACTGGCTTCCCACTACATATCTCATGGAACAGGGATGGGGACTGGATGGATGGGTCTGAAAAGTATAGCATAGGAAAAATAACATGCCCATCTATGATGCAAATGTCATGTTTCAGTATCTTGATTTTGTAATGGGTTTGCATCTGTACTTTGAATTTAGTATTCTTTGCCTATTATTGCATCTTGTGATGACTTAGACTATAGCTTGGCTTTTGAATTAGGGTTTAGATCCCTTTTGCTTACTTTCAACTACATTTTTTATGATGAAGACTTGGCGTCAAGCTTTGATTGCCTCATTTGCTCTGAGTGACCTTGGACAACTACCTTAACTATTTAGTGTCTTGGATTCTTGAATCTCTTGAAAAATGTAATTAGCAAAGCCTGTTTCATAGGGCAGTGCTGGATCACAGATATGTAAATTGTAAAACCCCTAAATGTTGAAGCTTTTCAAGATGAAAATTATATATTACTGTCTCTTAAAGGAGCTCTGGTGGTGCAGTGCCTAAGGCATTTGACTGCTAACCAGAAGGTTGGTGGTTCAAACCCACCAGCTGCTCTGCAGAAGGAAGATCAGGCAATGTACTTCCATAAAGATTTACTACCTTAGAAACCCAGTGGGGGTCATTATATGTCAAAATCGACTTGATGGCAGTGGGTTTGGTTTGGTTTTAGTTTGTCTCTTAAACAGCTAGCATAGTGGTGAAGTTCAATAAATGGTTTACTGCAAATTGTTAATGAAGAGCTCTTGTGGTGCTGTGGTTAAAGGATTGGGCTGCTAACCAAAAGGTCAGTGGTATGATCCCACCAGCCACTTTGCAGGAGAAAGATGAGGCAGTCTACTTCCTTAAAGATTTACAGCCTTGGAAACCCTGTGGGACAGTTTCACTCTGTCCTGTTGGCCAGCTGTGAGTCAGAATTGACTTGATTGATGACAGTGGGTTTGATTTTTGGTTTTTACAAAATGTTACATGAATATTAATCATTGATTTAAGAAATAAAGCTAAAAATATTTACTTAAATTATAGAATTAGTTAAATATTAACTTCTTACTAGTAGATGAAAAGATAAGTTTCATTTGTCTTCATTTACCATAACACATTTTATTGAAGGTTCTTTTATTTTTTAAAAAAAGTAACTTGAAAATAGGCCAACTTTTTTTTTTTAAATTAATTGTGATTAGGGTGAAAATTTACAGAGCAAATTCACTTTCCATACAATAGTTCACATACACTTTGTGTCATGACATTGACTACAATTTACCCCAATGCAGCAGCTCCCTTCCCACTTCCTCCCAATAGTTACCTCTTCCCCTGTGTCCATTCCTCCTTGTACTCCTGCCCCCTGAGCTGTCTCCCTGTGCATAAACACCCCTTCTTTCTCCCATGATTGATCTCTCCAAGGAGTGTGTCTACCTCAGGTTCAACTCTTATGCCTGTCTTTTGTTTGGCTGGAAGCCACAGGTTTGGGTTCAATTCCAGACCTGAAGGGCAGCTATGCCAGTCACTAGGACTAGTTCTTTCCATGAATCTTTAGTTTTCTTCATTTTTCTTTGCTCTGGATGAGCAGAGACCCATCGTTGTATCTAGATGGCTGCTTGCAAGCTTTTAAGATCTCATTTGCTACTCGCCAAAGTAGGAGGTGGAACAATGTTTTGTGTAGTATGTTGTGCCAATTGAGCTTTATGTCCCCTGCAACTATGGTCCCGAACCCACCGGTTCAACTACTCGGTCACTCTGGACAGCTGGCTGTGATCAAGAAGTGACTACAAACTTGTCCCTTGTCAGCTCTACTATACACCTGGGAATTCAGATCATACACATAAACTTATAGGCCCATTGTCTGCCAACCCTATACCTGGTCTTGGCTACACTCCCCATTTCATGTTGTTGTTGTTGTTATATGCCGTCGAGTCTGCCCCGACTCATAGCGACCCCTCCTTGGGTTTCCGAGGCAGTATCACTACGGAAGTAGGATTGCCCAACCTTCCTTCTGAGGAGTGGCTGGTGGGTTTGAACCGCCAGCCTTCTGGTTAGCAGTCAAGTGCCTTAGGTACTATGCTACCAGAGCTCCCCCCCACTTCATAGACATACCTAATAGTTCAGTCTGTCCACCCATCTATCCACCCGTATACCCATGTTTGCCTTCACTGATACCGCAGTGCAGTACTGTATGTGCAAAAGGGTTCATCTTTGTTGTCTATATGTCCCATGTACCTCTCTGTCTTCCTCTTTGCAAAAATGGCAAGGAGGCCACATGTTCTGACCTCCTCTAACCCTGCAAGGGGAAGGCAGGATTACCAGCAGTAACCCAAGGCCTATTACTGCAAGGCCAGACATGCTGCCTCCCTCCAGCCCTTTCACCAACTGTTCCTCCCAAAGCACCCACCACCTCTCTCCTGGGTTCGATAATTCTCTGCAGTGGCCACACAGAACTCACAGATTATGAGGTTTATTAGGGAAGCACCAGGCTACAATTCGAGTTCAAGAAAAATGCTCAGTCTCTCTCCCAGCCCACCATCCCTTGGCCAACAGCCTCTCACAGTCTCTTTCCCAGCAGTACTGGTCCCTCGGTGTCTCACTCAGCAATGAGTGTCTCTTGCGTCTCTTTCCCAGCAGCACATGTCTCTTTCCAGAGCGCATGTCTCCTTCAGCAGCATGTCTTCCTCAACCAGCAGTCAGAGAGAGTTCTGCCTCTTGGAGGCCTCCTTTGGAGCCCAGCAGTGTGGTCAAACTAGCCAATTATAGCATCAGAACTCTAAGCACCTGAGAGAGAGTGGGCACCTCCCAGAACATTGTTTTGTGCCACTCCCAACAAAAATACTCCAGGTGGACAACTTCAGCAATCAGGAGTCTCATAGAAAATCCCGCCTTGGAGTTTACAAAGACTTATGGGTAGAAAAGCCACACTAAGTAATTTACTACACTGCACTCTTCCTCAGTGCCCCCATGTTGATCACTCACATATGGTACATTGCCCTTCTCTTCACCCAGATCAATACTTACCTCTACCTATGTAACAGTGTTCCCTCCCCTCCATTCCTACCCCTGGGAACCAACAAAGAAAATTTCCTTCCATAGATAAACCTTTCTTTGACTTTTACAATAATGGACTAATACAATATTTGTCCTTCTGTGATTGACTATTTCACTCAGCATAATATCCTCCAGGTTCATCCACATTATGTGGTGTTTTGCAGATTCTAGGTTATTCTTTAGGTTTGCATAGTATTTCATTGTGTATATGTGCCATAATTTGGTTATCCATTCCTCAGTTGATGGACACCTAGGTTATTTCCATCTTTTGGCTATTGTAAATAGTGCTGTGATGAACGTGGGTGTGCACATGTCTGTTCTTGTCCTGGCTTTCACTTCTTTAGTGAGTACCTACTAATGGAACGGCTGGGTCAAATGGTATTTATGATTCCAAGTTTTAAAGGAATTGCTATACTGCTTTCCACAGTGGTTGTACCATTTCACAGTCCCACCAGCAGTGTATGAGAGTCCCAATCTCTCCACATCCTCGCCAGCGTTTATTACTTTCTGTGTTGTTGAACTTGGCTGCTAGTGCTGGTGCAAGATGGTATCTCATTGTTTTGATTTGCATCTCTCTAATGGCTAATGATCATGAGCATTTCTTCATATGTTTGTTGGCCACCTGAATATCCTCCTTGGTGAAGTGTTTATTCATGTCTTCTGCCCATTTTTTAATTGGATTATTTGTCTTTTTGTTATTGAGGTGTTGGAGTTTTCTGTAAATTCTAGAGATAAGTCCATTGTCAGATATGTCATTGCCACAGTTTTATTCCCAATCTGTAGGTTGTCTGTTGACTCTTCTGGAGAAGTCTTTGGAAGCACATAATTTTTAGAAGGTCATGAAAATCGACCAACTTTTAAGTACCAACAGACTCACTTATTTTTTTTTTTTAAACAGAGAAATATCCTTCAGAAGCCAAAATCTAATCTTTTATTTTTTTCGTGGATGATTTATTTAGAAGAGAAACAGCAAACCACGCTTACGGAGTGGTGCTCAGCTCAAGAGAATACTTTCAAGCCTGAGTCTCAGAGGCAGAGAACTGTCCCAAATGTGACTGAAGAATATGACTTATTGGATGATGGTGGTGATGCTGTCTTTAGTCAGTTGGTAAGACATCAGTGGTTTTATTTTGAGTGGAAATTGTGTAATTTAAAGAACATTGTGTGAGCTTATGATTTTTTAATGTGTATTAATTTTAGTTTATTTTAGACTACAACAACACATTTTTTCAGAACAACTTTCTAGAAACTTTTTAGGAAAAGAATGTAACTGCTTTTGAGCAGGAGAAAGGTGTATTCTGCAGATAGCTTGCAGTTTTCTGCCATTGTTTAACGTTTGAATACACCCAGGTGAAATATTTAAAATACTTTTAAAGAACGTTTACAAATTGTTGCTTAGCACAGAAAAGACTCATTTGGTTTAATGAACAGCAATTTGACCAAATAAATTAGTGATTCTGACTACACATTAGTATCACCTGAGGAGGGTTTAAAGCTCTGTGAAATCAGGAATCTGGATCTCTCCACAAGAAATTCTAGTGTACTTGGTCTGGGCTAGTATCTGACATGAATATTAAAAACCTCCAAGTGACACATCCTATGATGTACAGTTGGGAGAGAGAATCACTGGTATAGCTCTATATTTAGCAACATTGTATCAGAAGCACATTTATTTAATATTGTGGCTGAATTGTAGTTCTTTATTGACAAATTTTTTCTCAGATACAAGATAAATGTAAGAAAGATAGTATTGTGAGTGGTAAGGTTTATGATGAAATTAGAAATTTTTGTATAAGGGTCTTTGTTATACTGTAATACGTTTAGTATTCTAGTGGCCATATCATATTCTTTGCAAATTTCCTAAACTGTTAGATAATTTATAATCTTTGCATTTATTTGTTTTAAAGACAGAAAAAGATGTGAATTGTCTTGAACCATGGTTAATAAAGGAAATGGATGCTTGTCTTTCTGACATATGGCTACATAAAGACATTGATGCCTTTGCTCAGGTCTTTCACCTTATTTTAACTGAAAATGTTAGTGGTAAGTTTAATTGTAACTATTTTTTTTATTATTACTCTTGCTGTTACTTATGGTGGACATAAAATTTAATTCAAATTAAATTAAATGTTATGTGACTTGACGGCACATAACAACAACAATATGCGTCGAGTCGATTTCGACTCATAGCCACTACTTGGGTTTCCGAGGCAGTATCACTACGTTAGTAGATTGCCCCATCTTCCTTCCGAGGAGTGGCTTGTGGGTTTGAACCGCCAGCCTTCTGGTTAGTAGTCAGATGTCTTAGGCACTATGCCACCAGAGATATATCTATCTCTCTATCTATCTATCTCCTTTATTTCCCCACCTACACCTGGGGAGAGGATATTTAGTTTTCTTTGGATTCTCAAAAAGATTTGTGATTTCAAAAAAGGAAGGAAAAAAAAGATAACTTTTGTTTAGTGTTTCTGTTCTACTTCCTAGTTCATTGTGTAGTACCTGGTATCTTCAAAGCTTGCAAACAGCCATCCAAGGTACAAAAACTGGTTTCTTTTCACCTAGAACAATAGACAAAGAAGGAAAGTCAGGAATAGGTTGAGAATATGGGATGTGTAGCTAATTTCCTCTGTGAAAACTGCCTCCTTGGCCATGAAACCAGAAGAATTGGATGGTGTCTGGCTACCATTACTGAACATTTTGGTCAAAGATTCCATAGAAGAATCTGATCAAAAGGGAAAACTCTCAAAGAGAATTCTCGTGGACGCCATACTTTCTAGAACCATGGACTGTGGATGAAACTATTGCCCTGCAATAATCTTCAAAACTTAAACCAAAAATATCCACTGAATTCATCTTAAAACTGAACAATACTAGTAGAAAAAGATCTGTATTGAGCTTTATGCTCTTTTGAAAACTATGTATATGGGACTAAGTTGACAAAGCACCTCCCTCAGAATGCTTATGAGACAATGACTTTATGCTAATGAGAGAGTAATAACTCAGAAAAGGAGGGTGAGAATGGTTGCACAACTCAAAAAATATGTCAATGTCACTAAATTGTACATTTGTAGAAACTGTTGAATTGGTGTAAGTTTTATTTATTTACAAAATAAATATAATTTAGAAAAAAAGATAATTTTTACTATAAAATATTTAATAAATGAAAATTGTAGCTTATTTTAGTTATCTGAGCTCAAGTTCTAATTCATATGTGCATACTTTATGTCATGTGACATGTTTTCACTAATGAGAGTTATCCTGATTTTTGTTAGTTGATTTTATTGGATATTAGCTATTAGAGGTGAGTTTCAGAACACTGAAGGTTCTCTGCAGAAGGCACATGAAAGAATAGGTCAGTATTGGAAAGGATACAGATGTCAAGTATTTTATTCCATTGCCTAAACTTCCTATCAGTGTTTGACATAGTTGATCACTTCCTTCTTGGTACATTTTCTTCAGTCAGCTTTTAATATCCACACTTTGCTAATTTTCTTTTCATCTCGCTGATTGTGACTTTTTGGTTTCATTAACAAGGAAAAAAAAGGAAATGATCTGCTTCCCACCCCCCCAATACCTATACCTGTGGTTATAATCCTTTTTTTTTAAAAAAAAAATTTTTATTGTGATTTGGGTGAAAGTTTTCAGAGCAGATTTGCTTTCCATATAGCAGCTCACATATATATACTTTTTGTCTCGTGACATTGACTACAATTTCCCACAATGCAGTAGCTCCCCTCCCACTTCCTCCCCACAGTTACCTCTTCCCTGTTTCCTTCCCTCCCATGC